CGATCTTGACTGTCAACTTCTGCTACATGGGGGGTTTTTGGCTGTGCTGATATTGATGCAGATACCTCTTATATGGGTGGCCTATGGCCGTCGAGCTAGCTTTATTGCTGTCATTTGTTTATGGGGATGGGAGGGCTTCAGAAAAATGGGGGACAAATCTAGAATTTTAGAGGCACATTTTAGATGTGGGGTGTATTCATAAAGATGTGGGTGTTAATAAAACAACCCAACATAAAAACACCTGAAACTAAAAATTACATAAACAAAGGCTATTATCAGCCATAAAAAAACACACTGGCTATTATGATTAGCCATAAAAAATGTCTTGAAATTAATCTTATCAGCCATTTGTATTAAAGCACCTTCTTCATACCAACTGATGCAGGGCGCAATGGACATAAATGAATTAAAATGATAGATAGAATGGATAGTTAGGGTCCAGTATCTCCTAGTGCAAGGAGAGACCTAAAAACCCTACGAACTTTGGTTCTAGTACCTGCCTACAACGTAGACACTAAAAGAACAAAGATGTAGACTCTTAAACAAGAGAAAGGCAATAAAAACGAGTTTACAACTCAAACATCAATATGACAATTCAAACAACTTCTCCACTTTTCTCATGTTCCGTTTGGAATTTAATCTTTTCTTGATAACATTAGATTCATGAAGATATAGAACATCATATATGTTATCATGCTTGCATATCCACCATTTGAGTTAGACAAAAAGAGAAGAAACTTGGACAAAAAAAGAAGTAACTTTGACAAAAAGAAAGGAAGTGACTTAGACAAATCTTTTTTAGGCTAATTATTGTGGATGTTTCATCACAATAATATGATTATAATTACGATAAATTGCATTTGAGTGCACATACAATTTCTAGCAAACATCTTGATATTTTTAACTTTGAAAAGGGTAGACATAATTCGAACAATATAAAAAAATTCTTTTCTCCAAGTAAAATTTTGTATCGTGATAAGCAATGAACGATTCCCAAATATAATCATAAAAGTCACAGAAATGTAGAACATATTTTACCGCAAGTACCTAAACCATTGAACCCAAATCTTCATCACCATTGCATTCATCTAGAATCAAGGCAGAATCCCAATCGGCAACAAAATGAGCATCGATTTACCGAGTAAATTGAATTTCATTAGCTACTTTAATCATAAGCGTGTAACCTTCATCATACTCATCATAAATTGGTAGAGAACTCCAATCGACTAAATTATCGATTTCGTAATAACCTAACAATAGCAACATGATAACCCAAGAATCAATTAGGGCTTTGATACAAATTGACGCAGGGCACATCGGATAGAAACAAAATAAAATAATAGATAAGATTGATAGGTAGAGTCCACTATCTCCTTGTGCGAGGAGAGGCCTGAAAACCCTATAAACTTTGATTTTAGTACCAGCCTACAACGTAAAGAGTAAAAACAAAAGCTAAACAATCTCACAAAGAAAAAGGCACAAAACTGAAACAGATAAACACTCAGAGTATTTTCATAATAAAAAAACGTCCAACTCCTTATCTTACAGAAAGAAACGGTTTTTATAACCATTTTGTAACTTACATTCAAAATTTAATAGAAACTTAAAATGACAAAAAAAAACTGAAATTTACATATAGAAAGCAATCCAATCAGCCAAAAAAGGTCCAAAACAACCTGGCTATTATTAGGACCTACTAATGGCTGTTATTAAGTTCTTCTGATTAGTTATAGTCATTCATTTTATCCCATTGATTCAATAAATGCACTGGCCAACTGATCTGCATCACACACTTAAAACACAAACGACAGAGAGTTTGAAGAGCAGCGTTCACTGAGGAAACACAAGATCAGAACCGAGTCTTGTGGAGCCAATTTAGGTTCATATTCTCTTTGGCCACAGTTATCCTTACGTTGCTGAGAAACGGTGAGAAGGCTTCCCATAAATATTTTGTCTCTTCATCACAGACCACTTCCTCTAACTGCTCAAGATCCATGACTGATGGAGGCAGCTCTTGCAACCTTGAGCATTGTCTCATGTTGATCTTTCTTAAACTACTCATTTCACCAATGTCTTCGGGCAACACCTTGATGCTGAAGCAATCAGATATGTCAAGAAAGTTTGCCTTTCCAAGGTTCTTCATTGAGGTTGGAAGCTTCGACAGTTCTGAGCAGGATCTTAGCCTCAACAGTTCTAAATTTTCCAACTTTCCAATCTCTTCAGGCAAGGCAGATAGCTTATGACAGTTAGTAACATTGAGCTTCCTTAGTTTACTAAGATCACAAACCTCCACGGGCAATTCAATTAAATCACTGCAATAGTCGATGTTCATTTCCTCTAGATTCGGGAATGCTGATGAGATTGAGATGGAACAGTTGTTGAAAGCTTGACCAATGTTACACATGAACATGGATATCTTCTTCAGACTCACCAATTGAATGGGATTCTTGGTTATGGAAGGAATTGAGATGCGTTCTAATCTAATTCTCTTAAGATTTGGTAATGAACTCAAAAGTTGGAAGTTACTCAATTCAGCTGGTAAGAAACCATAATTTGTGACTATCACAGCCTTCAATTCACCCATGTTCACCACGGAATCGGGTAAAGCATAGTTCTTTGTCTGTAAATTCAATACTAAAACCTCAGCTTCTGGCATTTGCAAGTTGTGCCATTTTGTTGAAAACCCTTCATCTGCAAAGTAACAACTGTGAGTGTGGGGAGGAGAAACTAAATGAAAGTATTATTAAGACTTAATGTGCACACACACGTGCGTGTGGAATGAATATTTATTTGTGCATGTCTACGTAATTGCTAAAGCGAAAGGGAGAGATAGAACAACCAGTTGTTATAGATAATAAGCGGGCCTTCATCTGCTTCTGTTCTCTCCACCATTTTGGAAGTTTGTCTCCACATATGTCAATAATCAGTCTTTTTCTATGTTCTACCGGTCCTTTTTTTGTGTCATAGATGGCCAGTTCCCTAAGAACATCATGCTGGGTAACAAAGTGCTCACTATAATACCCGTCCCCCTCCATCTTGTCCTTCCTGGTGATGATCAAAACTAATTTTCTTAGAAGAGCTTCGATCAATCGGTCATGAATAAAGGGGAAAATCGAGCGAAAATATCATACAAGAGAAAATAAAACATGCACACCTTGTGACAACAAGATTAGCTAGACTTCGTTTGGTGAGCTCGTAGATGTTTGCAATGCACTCTATATCTGTATCTACATCATATAACTCTGCCCAGATATCAACAAGGGCAGCTGCAGCGATTCTTTGGTCTTCTGGAAATGAACCTAAGTCTAAGAAACATTCCTTGATGATTTCTTTATCTAAGGCATCCAAGCTTCGTTCAAGGCAGAGCAGCAATTCAGTCTCTGAATCAAGAATAGAAAAACCTTTAGACAATTCAAGTTCTCTTTTTTGCCATATCTCTATAGGCTCCCCACTAAGCGATCTCCCCACCACTGTAATAGCAAGTGGAAATCCCTTGCAACGCTCAACTATCTGCAGGATAATTTTCCAAAACAAAATCAACTAACTTTTAAGTTGCAGAGCCAAAATTCAAGTTACTAAGATGAGAAAATGGCTAAATAACTATATACAGTATTCTAATTTTAGTTTTAGTCGACAAGTAAGTATGCTTAGATGCATGACTACTCACAGGTTTATATGGTAAATGGATGTGTTCATTCGCTCAATTGTGGATGCTTTGCGTAAGGTGAACATAATTTCTTGATAATTCTCCAAAACCAAATCAACTAATTTTTTACCATACACGTGCGTTGCAACTAAAATGTACCTTTTCTGGAAGATCTTTTGGAATATGAGAGCTCTTATCTCCAAGGGATGCTGAATGATGAAAAAGTTTCATCGCATTGTCATGATCCAATGATTGCAAATAATAAGGGGAACCATATCCCCGAAATTCAGACCTAGATGTCACCAAAAACTTGTAATTTTCCGTTTTGAATTGATCAAACTTCTCCACAAGGGATTCTGATCCAGGCCAAACATCATCCAGGACAATCAGTAAAGGATTCTGCCCTTCTTCCTTCAGAAAACGTTGCAGCCACGTCGCTGTACTAACTTCGTTTTGGAAAGTAGGTGCTTGGAAACCCTTGCGTTGATAAAGATCTTGAACAATATTTTCTAATTTAGGCTTTTTTGAAACCGTGACAAAGAAGATGTTATCCTTGAATGCATCTATCCAGAGAAAACATAATAAATCAGTCATTGAGGCGTCATTTAAATCTGCCATAGTTGTACAAAGTAAAAAAAACATAAACAATTCAGAGTGCTAACTTATAATATATGATACCTTTGATATCCTTGTCTTGACAAAACTTTGTAGCCAAAGTGGTTTTCCCACATCCTCCAGGAGCAGTCAGCACAACCATTGACACATTTTTGTCCTTTAGAAGCTTCCTCTTCAGTTCCTTTAGAGGAAAATCCAATCCAACCACGAGCGGCGGAAGTTGAGGTACGGCACACCAAGCTTCACTGTCGGGTTGTTTTGGTATCACCATATTCGATTCAATTCTGATGACCGCCTCCTCTACATTCTTCACCGTAACCGCGTTGTCCTTCACATCCCTTATTCCCTGAACTTTTAGCATGTCCAAAAGTCGTTGAAGAGATGCATCCCATTCAATCAGCTTGTTGGCGTACTTGTACCTTTTGTATACTAATACGCTCCACCATCGAATCTTTTTGCACTTTTGGACGAGATGTATGCCCTCCTCCAAATGTAGTTTCAAGTTTCTCAGTTCCTTATCCGACAGGTCCAATTTCTTGTTGGATCTTTCTATATCTTTCAACAATGGTTCCAAAGAGTCTAACCTGAATTTGATGTTTTTGAGTAGGGGCTTAAACATTACATTCTTGGTGATCAGCTCCTTGAGGACATCGTACAGCGCATTGACTAGTGTTCCGAGACCAGCCCCTCCGAAAAAGGCTGCCTGCTCCACTCATTCCTTGATTCTTAACAACAAAAACCTACACCAAAATCAGAAAAACTTACAAAAGTTTCAACCTAAAATTTACGACAACAGAAAAAATAACAGGGAAATCGGCTGATGAAATGATCAGTTTTTCAGTATGTCTTCGATATTTGAGATTTGATTTCGGACCATTTGAGCCACTTTCCCAAAACAACAACAGATTAGAAACTTGGAACCCAAAATAAAGCGATTCAGAAAACAAGCAATACAGAGTTGGATATTCTCTTACGTTGTTGGTGATCAAGCAAGATAGGATAAACAAACTATCTGGGAGTTGGCATAGAAATACTTACTTCGAAGCTCGATAGAAATTTCGGAGTTGGAGCGCGTTGACTTTAGCAATAGCCGATTGAGTGTGGAGGGAGACTTGGAAATTAACCAGGAAACTGCATCACCATGCCTGGGAAACTTCGTGGCGAGAGCGAAAGAGATAATCCAACAACCATATTGCAGGCAGATGGCGACCAGAATTGTATCTTTCTCAGAAAGTATTGCTTCTTATCGTATTAAATTGTGAAGGCAAGTTTCGAAAGGCGACAACAGCATAGAGAGCCAATGAGCAATATATGACTATATTTTAACAATTCCTCCTACTTGCAGCTAATTGCACTTACGGTCGGCCACCACACGGATATGCGCGTGGACAAGCCGTGAATTGGAACGCGCGCACGCGCGCACGGAACGCGTGCAAGTCGGGAGGATCCTGCGGACAAGGGTCCGTCAGCCACCCAACTGACCCCAATTACTCATTCTTTCATCCAACGCCAGTGATTCATTGGATTGATGGTGATCCAACGTACTTATGTTGTGTTTTCCAGCTATTTTTCTGTAATTGCCTTTTGTTTATATTATAGGACAGGTTTGTAATTCTTATTTTGATAATTTTTTCTCCTTTCTCTCTTTTTGATACTTTGCATGTGTATTCACTTGGAAAAAAATACTTCAGTCTAAATGGTATTAATGCTGAAGGATATATTTTCTTTTGGAGCCATAAAATCTACAATAGATTTCCAAGAATACAATGAGGTTGCTGGCGTTTCAGCGCTTGACTTTGGTTACACAAATAACACTGCAGGGTACCATACAAAAGTTTTTTTCCTTCCCTTTTGCCACTTTTTTGGGATATTAGTTACAAAATCTGTTTAGAGCATAGATGTGAAATTTACAGGACGGGTTAGTAAGTTAATTAGTTAATTTGATTCTCAATGGATATGAGTTATTGCGATTTGCAGAGATAGACTAAAGACTTAAAGAAAACAATGTTTGTTTTGAGTACTTCTCACGTCATTGAGGCACAAATGTTGTTCCTGCATTAATTATTTTTTTTATATCGAAATTGAATAAATTTAATTTTCCTTGATATCCAAATGTATTAAAGTAATTTTGATTGAAGTTTGTTTATGTCTATTTTCCAAGATTCATTTTTTGGTTACCAGATATCTCACTTTGTTTATGGTTTGCTTTTTTTTAGTTAATTGAAACAGAGGCTTTTTATTCTTTGTGTTTTCAGGACTTCATTCACTCTTTACAAGTCAACCCTGCAATTAGACCTGTAAACGGATCGGGTTTATTGGGTTTGGGTCGGGTTCAACCTAACCCGTTAAGTCAACCCTGCAATTTGATCCTTTTTTTTTTGTGTGAAATTATAATGGAATTGCAAGTCAAGTATATCTTAAGATTCTTGGTTGCATACCCACCTTCCCACAACTATTAGTCTCTTGATTGGATGGATTTTTATAATTTATTGGATCTACGGTTACAATGCTTTTTATAATTTCCTAGATCTATCTTTTTTGTTCGTTCATGATTATGTTGAATGTTTTTCGGATTAAATATGTCTTATTCATGTAATTAAGGCTGGTGCATTCAACTCCCGGGGCATCGCGCGGGCTTATTACTAGTCATGCACTATAGTCAATAGCATTGATCTAAGTTTTGTTTGATAGGGAACATGATTTGTGTAAATGGTTAACCGTTTATAACCGCAGATAATACCCATAACTGTCTATTTAAATTTCGTGGATAAACGGTTATACCCATAACCGTTTATTTATCTAAACAGTTACCTATAATTGTAACTGTGAAATTTAAATGGGCGGATGGTTATAACCAAGGAAGAAAATATCGGTAATATCGGAAATATCGGTAGTCCGAAAACACGGAAATATCGATGGAAATATCGGGATAATATCGATATCGATAAAAATTACATGGAAACCACGGAAATTGTAAGAAAAACTTGGAAATTTTTATTGAAACTTTGCAGGATGTTTATTTAGTCAATTATCTATTAGTTTATCACAAAAAATTGGAAGGAAATGCATTGCATGATGGATTTAACATTATCAAGTTGATTATATAGCGAGCTGACAAACATTGTGAGTGTAGAAAATATGTAGTAATTAATGAAAGAAGTCTAAACACACCATAATCATTTATATATAATGAATTAGTACAATATTTTACACTTTATACATTGCATTTTTGGTTCTTCTCTGACAAAATTTGGTCTTCACGTGGAGAAGAAGATAAAGTAAGCAGATTTTTTGGTTCTTCTCTGACAGAATATTTGGTTCTTCTGAGCAAAGTCACTTCCAATTCTTTCATACAAAACTGTGTGCCACACACACACATCCTCAAAGTTTTTTTCTTTTTCTCTCGGATAACACACACACACACATAACCATACACACACACACACACACACACACAAAATCATGGTTTTATACAAAACCATGTGCCAAAACTCTCTCGGATAACACACACACACACATAACCATACACACACACACACACATAACCATACACGTGAACACACACACACACAAAACCATGGTTTTATACAAAACCATGTGTCAAACCGTGTGCCACAAACACACACACACACACACACCCTCAATGTATTTTTTTCTTTCTCTCGGATAACACACACACACTTCTCCCTCATTCCACACACACACACACGCACACACCCTCCATCTACAGAGATCGGAGATCTCTCTTCTCCCAAACACACACACACACACACAGAGATCGGAGATCTCTCTTCTCCATTCTCCGATCTCTCTTCTCCCTTCTCCGATCTCTCTTCTCCCAAACACCCACATACAAAGAGAGATCTCCGATCTCTCTTCTCCCAAACACACACACACACACAGAGATCTCTCGATCTCTCTTCTCCCTTCGCCGTTGATCGTGGCTCTGGCGAAGTCGGAGTTGGCTCAGTCGTCTCTGGCGGTGCGCCGCTGAGCAAGGATCACGTTCAGTCATCTGGTTCGTCTTCGTCTTCGTCAGGTGAGATTCCATTGAAACCCTAAACCCTAAACCGACTTCACACATATGTTGAATCGTTTATGCATGCGTGAAATCTGAAGTTTATATGTGAAATTGATGTTAAAATTCGTGTTTTTGCAAGGTTTTTAGGACGAAATCGGCCCGGGAATAGGCACACCGTCTCCGGCGTTCTTCTCCGACGTCGCCTCGGAGTCCGATTGCACCAAACTCAAAAAAATTTCGCCGATATTTCCAAAATATCGCGATATTATCGATATTATCGATAATATCGCGATATTTGGCCGAAAACCATTCGGATACCACTTAGAATATCCATCACCCGAAAAACCGATAATATCGGCGATATTACGCCGATATTATCGGCATTTTCTTCCATGGTTATAACCAATGGGCATTTGCCCATCCATAATCTCGATTAGACAGTTCACACAGCTCCTGCAACAGGAAATGATGTCTTCAACAAGGTCAGAGGAATTTGCCGCACATCTCCGAAAACGTCGCTTAAAACGGAACTTGCAGTGGTTTCCCATGTGAGGATGAAGAGGAAGGCTCCGTTTGTGAGCTTTAGCCAACGACGATGCCTGAATCCCCTGATTCCGTCGTTCTCTGCTACTCCATCATTGTCGTCGATACGTTCATCACAAGCACAAGAGCCAACTTCTCCAACGCACATGGGCGCACGCATGCCCATTGCACTTCAACGACGACGGGGCGCCGAAACAGTGGCCCTGGGAGATCCTGCACCATCAGGTCAAGTCTTACTACACAAGTAGAGATGATGCTGGTGTTCGTCACAAATGGGGCCGACAAGTTCATGGTCTTAAGCCATTCTTCCATTTTCGGCAACGGCGTGCGAAGTGGAAACTGTTGTACACGGGTCGCTCATCCCGACAGAGCAATAAGGATATTCACAATTCTGATGTTGTCTCTCTTGTTGGAGATCAGCCTTGGGTTCTGTTTTCCAGTTTACAAAGTAATGCAATGAAGATGTTTGATGGAATGCCAAAAAGAAGAATTAAGGACAGAATGCCTAATTTTCTCACCTTGGACCTTATGGAACAATTTAAGTCTGATTTGGCTATTAATGAGTATATAAGCTGTGCTTTGAGAGCTTTAAGGGCAATACAAATGTTGAGGTTTCCATTTGAGGAGGGAGGGGTTCTACGAGAACTAAAGATTGTCGAGGCTTTGTTTAGGCAACTATGTCAGTTGACAGAAACAAGTATTAAAATTGTTTCGGATCAATTGACCATTGTGGACATTACACTTTTGTCTCCTGTAAGTTTAAAGATCACTCTCTTGGCTTTAGAATGGAGCAATTTACATATTATAAGACCACCAATCTTGATTCTTACAGCAGTGTTTCTGCCCTTTGAAGATTTTTCTATTATTTGTAGACATTTCCAAATAGTCTCAAGCAAGGAAAATATAGTGTACCACTTCAAGGTTAGTTATACTGTTGACGTAATGTTGATGCCTCATATGACTCACACTCATTTCCTTCCGTATGAGGATATTATTCTTACCTTGACATTTGCATAGTGGAGTTCAGAAGCTATGAACTCATGTAAGTTCAGGGCTACCTCTTTTCATAAGAGTGCGTTACTAAATAATGATTTTGCATTGATTGCCTTGTACCTGCACCTTAAGTCGGTTGAGAAATTCATGGAAATATTTTAGAACGTGTGGATAAGCTGGATAACACAACTTATTGGTATGCATCACAAAGGTGCACTGAACATGGAATCTCTCATTAAGTTGTAGAGGCTTTTACCATTAACAGCAGTTATGTTTAAGTACATGAGTTCATTGGCTGCTACCTATATTATTTCTGAAAATCAAAGACACGTTTGTCATATCTTTCACATCGATTCCATTGTTCTGATAACTGCTTTGGACAAGCATTGTGATATTAAGGAGTTTGTAACATGGGGCCACTTCAATGCTACATGTAAGATCAACCTTGTGGCAGCCTTGTTTGTGTCTCTGATGACTCATATTTGTTTAATGGAGAGTGAGTTACCCATTTCAATCAGTCCATATTGCAAATGGCTTGCTGCTGAATTCTTTAAGGAAAAAAGGGAAATTATGATATATGATTGCCTGAGCATAACTCTCAAGATTGTTGGCAAAGAACTGCAATCGCCATTACAGAAAATGTCAAAAGTTGTTCACACTTTTTCTTTAATCGTTTCTGACCAGCTGGATACTACTTTCATGGAGAAAGTTGATTATGGTACACCAATGGAAGTTTTTGCTATTTGTATCTATGAATGTGGAGCCATTTTTCAGCAAGAATTTTCTTATGTTGTGAGACTTTTTGCTCTTCGCAAACTCAATCTGGATTTTTCTTCAAGGTATTTCTCTGATCTAATTCCTTCAATGGCTAGTGTGGATGTTCAGCTTACAGTGTATAGAATTCGTCATGATTGAGCATTACAAATTCGTGGGCATGCTTCTAACCCTATTTTCACTACTAAGGGTATCCACATGTAGTTATTTGCATCATTGTGGATGATGATAAGGGATCTCTTGACATCATTTTTCTTAAAGTTCCTGCACCGTTAATTATATGGGATAGTGATGATTCACACTATGAGAAATCTGGTAGGGTAGAAATTCAAGATTTAAGTTTTGTCATGTATGGTGGAGAATGGAGACCAATGCTTAGGGAAGTTCACTTAATTGGGTGGTTGCTTGGCCACATTATTGCTTATTTTCTTTGTTCAGCAAGACTGTTCAAATTGTTGGTAGTAGAGATATAGATACTAGACAATTGAACTCATGCCAACAATGGCTTGACGACGTTGCTATGTGGGAAATATCTCTTGCTGGGAGTGAAGTGGGTGCTGTTGCACCGAAGATTTCCCCTTTCAAGCCTATAACCACTATTTTTGTTGGAACTAATGATGCCTTTGGAATGTCTGAGGGATATGATCTTCGGCAATTTTTCAAAACTATTCTGCCAGGACCAAGCAAGCTAAATGGCTTACTGAATGGTGATGCACAAGAATATGTGGGTGATTGGCAACACAAACAAGAGGGAGTGGGAGTTGATACTTGGAATGAGTTAACATTTAATGATGACCATGTGAGCAATGTATCCAGATCTACAGTGGGAAATGAGTTGACATTTGTTATCTCAGTTTACAAGAATGGTGCAATATCAGTAAGTGATACAAGGAGTGCGAAACAGTTCCTGGGTGTCATTCCTTTCCTTGGTATTGGGTGGCTCTTCAATGTCATCACCCGCATTATACTATCGCACTCCATTTGACAATTTTTGGCACTTCCATACATAAGCTACTACTGGAGATGTGCATGGTATAGTTTGAAAATTGGCTGCTTTCTTTCCCAAACTGCTCCATGCTTCTTTCACAGTTTGAGAGGCTTGAGGACAAGCCTCATGTGAAGGGGGATGGATTGATGCAACTCTATGCTATTGAGCTTCGGTTATAACTAGTTAGATCACCTATTGTTATTACTATCCTTTAGGCCCATTACATAGGTAATACCATTAGGCCTGTCTACACTTCAAACCCTACTATCTTTGAATGTATTTAAACTTCTTTTCTTATGTAAAGAGGACTATGAATGAAGATATGAATTTACTTTGATTTCTTTTCCATTTCTGCATTTACTTTCTTGCAATTTCCCTTTATCATGTTTGATCCTATCAACTTGCAGGTTGGTATTTTTTTTCTAGGCTTATTGGTTTTCATGGTGATTGAAGGTAAAAAAATTTGAGTTGTTGATACCATTTATTGAAAAGGAAAGTTGTTTGATTTGGCTTTGAATTGCTGTGAAATCTGAACCATAATTCTTTTAAGTGCTCTCTGCATTTGAAAAAGATTGAAAATGGTCTCTTGGGCTAACAGAATGATTTCCCCCATCATAGATGATTTTTTTCTTCTTCTGTTTCTTTGGTTTATTATTTGGAGTCCTAGAAAACCATGAAAAACTATATAAAGAAGGATTTAAGAAACACATATATCTTTCTCCTATATATATTTTCAGCTACTCAGATTTGTTTAAGCATTGACTTTTACTTCCTTTTAAGTTAGATACAAAATAGTTGAATGCTTATGTCATAGTTTGATTATTATGGTTTTGCACTGATCTTTAAGTAATTCTTCCAACTAGTGACCATATAACTGGCTCAAAATTCATCCAATGTGTTTTTTATATTCTTTTATTGGCTGGAGGCCATTACCTCAGGTGAATATATCAATTGGGTTGTTTAGTAAGAGCACAACCACCTTTGTAATACCAAAGTTGGTTTTTGTTTTGGTTGTATGAGATCCAGTGCAGGGTAAAATTTTAATTATTGAAAACTTTATCTGCATGCGAAAATGGTAGACTAATTTAGAACTTATGCCTCTTTTGCTTAGTTTTTGTATTAAGCACACTAATGTTTTTGTTTCCAAAGTAAATTGTTGTTGTGATTGTGTTGTTTGCAGGTTGGTCATGGTTTCTTATAAGGGTAATTCTCTTGTTTGTTTTTTTAAACCAAGATGTTGCCAGTATAGGCTTTATACTCTGCAAGTTTCAGAATTCTGAAGAGTTTTAATTATGGTGTTGGGGATTTGTTAATTTTGCTCTCTCTGTGTGTGATTTGATTGGGATTGCAGAGTGACTTGGGTTTCTTTGTATGCACGTCCCAGACTTCCAGGTCACATAGGGTACTCAGCAAGGTTCTAGTTTTGCAAAGGAGATGGAGATGTTACAGACTTACAGTGATACTGCAATCCAAATAATCTATGAGTATGTTGTAGTAGTAGTAGTAGAATAACAATGGGGCATAGCCTAATACTTAAATTATTGACATTGTTGCTTAGCCTAGTACTTTGTGAGTCTATTATAGTAGTGGTGTAGTACTTTGTTTAGTTTGTACTCTTGGATAAAAATGATAACTTGATTGAGTTCCTTTGGTATGATTTATATTCACTTATTTATTCTATTTCTTTTTACTATTTTTCAGGTAGCATTCAAGTCTTTGGTGAATTTTTAAACAAAGAGGCTGCAAATGCAACGGTAATGAGTGGAAAAGTTTATACTTGATTTTATTAGTATTAAAGTCTTTATCAATTTCTAAGTTAACATTTTTTTTACTAGCTCTTAACTTACCAACCGAATACATTTCCTTTGACTAGCTAGAGTATCTGGTGGGCACTCTATCCGTTCCCAGGGCCTAGTTTCCAAAGACGAAGTTGAGACTAGTTGGGGTAGAATTATTTAACATTGAGTGTGGGGATTGGATGACAACATGGTTTTTAGTTCTCAAATGCTCAAACAATGTGTTTAACATTGCCTATGGGAGTGGTGATATGTGTGCTTGTCAGATTTTGTGTCAATGGTCACTATGTATATTTATTTTGTGCTTCTGGAATAACCTAATTGACAAGATGATAGGAGCATATTTATGCGACTTTGTTAGCTTGTTTCTTTGCATATAGTGAGTTAGTTTCTGTTTATTATAGTGATTTAAGCTGTGACAACCTGTCCCGAATTTTATTATCGATGGTGTGAAATGACCAATTTACCCTTGAACGTTTGTGGTGTTATGTGGTTAGGTTTTGGTTGTGGACCAATTAAACTTTTCCTAAGTGTTTGGACCCAATTAGAAAAGAGATTTTTGTTTGTTGTGATTGGATGCCCAAAACTGGACCACACACACACCCAAAGTAAACCGTTGACTCTTTCTCTTTCCTCCCTTTCGCATTTTCTGCCATTTCCATACAAGCGTACGGACAACCTTCAAACCTTCACTTCCAGTCATCGATCGAAGCTGGGGAAGTGGTCTTTGTATTCCTTGCAAGTCCATTAGCTCATCCATGCCATTTGTTGGACGTGAAACCTTAGAAAATTCGAGAACCAGAAACCTCGATTTGGTGTACTGTTCATGTGATCGTGATCGTGAAGTTTTCAGGGAGTTTTAAGGTTCTAGGAAGCTTTATGATGTCTTCACGAAGCTCGGGGAGTAATTTTGGAGTGTTTTGGACGTCGAGAGACTTGGGTTCTAAGAGTTGCTAAAGTGGCCAGAGTCTCGTGCTTTCTCCAGCGAGTTTCCGTGAGTATTGGGGCTCAAAGTTGGTAAGGTTTTGTTCCTTGCATCATGAGCTTCATTTGGAGACAAATTTCATGAGTTTTGGTTAAGAAATGAAAGAGATATGAAGGTTTGAATAATTTTCCAGTTTTCGACGATAGCAGCGGCACCAGCGCCGGGCTCCGGCGATCTAAGGAAAGAGGAGGAGAATATTCCGTCAAAGTTGACAGAATATTTTGATGTCGTCAGGTAAACATAACGGCATATTCTAGTTTTTAACAGAATATTCCCTAACGGTGTTAACTATTCCGTCCCCGCCTGCGCATGGCCGCACGTTTGGCCGTGCCTTGGCCAGCGCGTAAGTGCTCAGAAATTTTTTCTGAAAATATGGGGATGTTCGCTATGTTGAGTAGATCTCGTTGGTATATTCAAACAACCCATTTGAGCATTGTATGAGAAGTTATTTCCTAGTTTTGTGTATGTGCTTTAAATAACGTTTATTTAGTTATTTCGCATATAGGTGAGACCCATCCGGAGGACGAGCGCCATCAATTGAGGCTCGGGGGCTACGACCATTCGACATATCAGTGAATGGGTTTTTGGTTTTATGTATATACCTATATACTTGAGATTTTTTCCCAGAAAATAAAATTGAATGATTATACATTTTGAAATGCCATGCAAAGTATCTGCCTATTTTATTTATGCATTAGTAGTTGTATATATGTATAATTGGTGCTGCGGACGCACATGTAAGTGCCAGGTAAGTTCATAAATTAAAGATATGAGATTACTTCAGTTATGCGAGATATGAAGTGATGTATTGAGAGCTCATAAACCTACACCCCGGTGTTAGTGCTCCCACCCAGAGTTAAGGCACAGTTCTTCACGTGATGTTCGCTTCCTGCACCATATGCTCACCTTGGATCCAAGTTAGGTGCCCAAGCTTGTCGTACAGACCACTATAGGTGGTTCTAACTCGTAGGTGACCCGCGATCATTCGCACAGTCTTCACCTGATCATAGCACTAGAGCATATTTATTTTACACCTAGTCCTGTCGTGCAGACTACTTTAGGTGGTTCCGACTCGTGTGCAGGATTTGATATGATTGAGATTGGTTATGAGCTATAGATTCAGTCATGCAGTGGATCCGGCTGATATGATATCTGGCATTGATATATTTTAACTGGAATATTTATGGCATTTCATTGAGATACTTTGGCATGGTATATTTCTACGGATTTTCATCCTGAGCATGATTTCTGATATAACATATATTAAATTCTGGGAAATTATACATGTTTTACAGCGAGGGGTTAGAACTTTTGAGAAATGAAATGATTTTGAAAAGCTTTGTTTTTGCCCACTCACACTTTCTGTTTTGCGCCCCTCCAGATTTTAGGTAGAAGTGCTTTGGTGGCTCACAGGGATTTCGATGGTGGTTCTGACAGAACATCATAAATGTAGGATCACCCTTGGGTGTTGTATAATTAGTATTTGTCCTACCTGATTGCACTTAGGCTATTTATGCTCTGATTGTGTATTTCACACTTAATCTCGCACTAGCACTTTATCTTAGCTAGTACTGCGAGTAGTTTGGTTTTTATTCACTCGTATTTCTCTATATCAATTTTGCTTTCGCGATGTGCACATGGTTACGTCACTCTCACGTGATAGCTAGCATGCCCTGATTTAGTTTGGGGTGTGTCAGTTTGGTATCAGAGCCTAGGTTTGCAGTCATGCATATCTTGTGAAATTTCTAATTATTTTGGTGTCTTCTGTCAGAACTATGCTGCTTTGTTGAGATACAAGTCCTTCTGTTGGGCCTAGTTTCCCGATATAGCTCTGTTAGGGGAAGCTATAGCTAATGCCATTCAGACTTCGCTTCGTCCTCCCTAAAGGACACCTCTTGAGACTGTGTATAATCTGAAGCTGAATCATTTTATGGGGAATGAAGGACATGAAGGAGCGGAGAAATGGATTAATCATCTTGAGAAGACTTTCCATGTAATGCAGAGTTAGGGGAATCTTCATCTTAATAGGTGGGTCAAGACGACTACCTAGTTTCTGGGTCCGGAACATGCATCTTGGTGGAGACAGGAGTCTTATCAGTTGTCACAAGAGGAAGCAGTTGACTGGGAAGTGTTTAAATAGTTGTTTCAAAAAAGGTTTATTCCCCCTGAGTATATTGATCGCAAAAAGTAAGAGTTTACTCAATTAAAGCAGGGGAAGATGACAGCAAATGAGTATTATAGGAGATTCACTGACTTATCTCATTATCATCCAGAGGTTGCTGCTAATCCAGTTGAGATGCTCCGTCATTTCAGGTTGGGTACTAAAAAGAAATGGCGTTGTATAGCAACCTCGACTCCCTATGCTACTTACCAGGAGTTTTATGAGATTTTGTTGAGGATTGAGGACTCAAAGAATATGCCTAATAAGAGTGAAGAAGAAGAAGAAAAGAATGGGAATTAGAGGAGAGATGAAAAAGGTAAAAGTCAATCTTCTCAAGGACCTCGCAAGACTCAGAGCTTTAAGAGGAGTGGAACTAGTTCCAATTCTTCTAGCGGAGGTTTTAGTGCCACTGGTTAGATGAGAGGTGGTAGATTTTCAGGAGGTCCTAGATTCCAGAGGCAAGGAGATTCTGGAAGAGGACGTGCTCCTTTGTGCCGCAGATGTAATAATAGGCATTTTGGAGAGTGTAGGCGAGGCAACATTGGATGTTTTACTTGTGGGCAGGTGGGACATAGAGCTATAAATTGTCCCCAGAACCAGCAGAGGCCCCAACAGCCTTCTATGCCACCACCAGCGCCGATCCAGCAAGTTCCAGGGTCTGGTAGTTATGGTCAGATGGGTCGAGGTGGTGCTTACCATTATCAGGGCGATGCCGCTCCTTATGCTCCAGGACCATATCAATATTCACATGATCCTTATTACCAAAGTGGGTATTCTCAGTATCTTGGAGGGTATACACCGTATCCTCCCATTTCAGCTAGTTGATCTCAGTGGTACCAAGGAGGACAACCCCAACAAGTAAAGATTGCTTCCAGTAGTAGGGGATCTTCAAGGCAATCTAGTCAGCCAAGTCAGGAGCGAGGTGTGCAGGGGTGAGATTATCAAGCTAATAGAGGTCGTGGGGGACAACATCAAGCCCAGGGACATATTAACAATATCTCTCTGCAGGATGCTCAGAATCATCCGGGTCCAATTGGCAAAGGTGACAAGAAAGAGCAATTTGGAACATTTTGGAGCAGTTTTGGACTTGGAATGGATAACATGCGTATGGAGCATAATGGATGGCCATTTTTGAAGTTTGAAGAGGCTATGAATGTGCTACAAATCTGGAGAAATTAAATCAAGACTTGGAAGATAAGGAGTCAGCTAAAAGGAAGGAACATTATCTTAACCAACCTTATCTTATCCAACATTATCCAAACGAACCTTATCTTATCCTACCTTATTTTCAGCTGCAATGGGGACTCCTTTTCATATTAAACCACTTCTTATCTGATTTCTAGGAGTTATAAACAATGCTAACAACTAATTATTTTCCTCCACAAACAATGCAATGTATCTGCAATATATATACACCATTGTCGCAGAAAATAAGGGGAGAGCTTTAGAGAGAAATTCAGAGCCTAAAATCAGAAAAACACACTTGTGCTACAACTTTGCAAGGAAGGAGAAGAAGAAGCTTGAAGCTATGCCTGCCATTCAAGACCTTTAGATTGTTAAAGCGTTTCTAGGTGTATTCTATCTTTTGTTTTCAATGTTTAATTTTAATTGTCTTTGTTTAATTGCAAACATGAGGAACTAATTTCGTTTTAGATAGAGGTGGATTCAAAGCCATGAACATATATGTGATATGAATTGATTACATCTAGTTATTATTTCATAAATCGTGAGTGCAATTTACTTAACTGTTTGATTGATAACTTATTCTTGTGTGTTGATTAAGGGGGCCCACTTAGTTTGCATGCATGAATTTGATGCTAAAATATAAGGGAGTTTCATCTAATAGTTATGAACTTATATTTACAAGTAGTGGAGATTGCTAGTCACAATCGCGTTGAGTAAATTCCTGGCAGGAGTATCATGCAATTCATAGTTACGAATGCCATGTCAATGCTTATGATTTTCACTGAACTTAATGATCTTTGATATGTATCTCTATTATGCAGTTCATGTAATGAACTTGATAAGAATAATTTGGTTGCGTCGCTAAGTCCAATTCAATGAATTTAGGAAAATCTGATGGTTAATTTGTGCAGTTCATGATTAACTTGGGGCATTGCCATTCATGGTTTATAGGAAGAATAACTGGAAATCGACTTGTATGCATATGTGTCATGTGTGGAGAATGACCCTCTAACTAGCCTTTCACCCCCTTTAATTCACCTAACTTCGTACCCTTTAGTTTGTTTCTGCAAGTTTGTGTGTTAAATCGTAAATTCGTCAAAACAACCCCCCATTTAGTATTCTAAGTCTTTTTAGTTTAATTTTCGTCCAAACTTCCCTTTAGTTCCTGTTTTGAGTCAATTTAACTTAGTTTGTGTGTTTTGAATCAGATTAGCTTATTTTGAGTAGTTTAAGTTTAATTTTTTGTTTTTGAGTCTAGTTTAAGTGATTTAGAGTTTAATTTGTGTAGATTAGCAGCCCTCCTAATCACCGGCCTAGAACGATCCCTACTTACACATACTACAACTATTAAAAAGAGGGTTTAAGTTTGTGTGCTATTTTATATCACATCACAAGAAATAAACCCACACACAACCGAAACCATCAAATGTCACACCCCATTAAATGTGACTTTATACGAACTGAATAATGCCTAGCAACCACAACACATCCTTAACATAGTTACAGAAAAAGGTTAAGGATTTGGACGAAATTTGGAACCAACTGGTTGTAAACTGTACAAACTGAATATACCTACAACAAACCGTCATATATCCATCATGTCCATCCAAATTTTTATTGGTGTAGATAATTTAACGACATCTAAATTGATCTCCTATAAATACAAGTCAAGGACAATATAGGACCCAACATTTACTTCGTCCACAACCATGACAACCACAGATGTCATGTGTGAGTCAGGGAGTGATGCTGATTCCGATGATACGAGCAATCAAATTGCACAAGTGAAGATCAAATTCAGAAATTACTCATGGCCCGTCCCTATATGGCATCAAAAGTGCGACGAATAGTAGTCCGCCTTGTTTGCGTTACAACAAAAACTGAACAAGGCGTTGTACAAATCGGCCAAGTATAAATGTCAAGTACATAGCTGAAAGCGTAAGTATAATGAACTAAATCTAAAAGAGGAGGAAGACCTATGCCGTACGTCATCAATTTATGGGTGACAAAGCAGCTCCAACAAGATTATGACTCCGTTTTCTTTGGTGGGGTTTAGAATTTTTGTTCATATCTTAATCGTAACCGCAAGGGATATGATTGGGACTACATTTTGCTCTCGCACGTGGATGACTTCGTAAGAGATGGTGGTGATTACGAGGAGCACGAGTACGTAAAAATGGCTCACAGCCACCCAAGGGTCTTCAGGGTGAAATCTGCCTTCGTATATATTTACAACTCATTGTTATATACATTTTGCGCACTTTTTTAAGTATATTGTAATGTCAAGCTTTTGTAAGTGACTCAAGTTTTATTGTCATAAAAGTTCGTAAGCTGTCACAAATATTCATATGCATTCATCATATGTCACAGTTTGTGCAGCGCAATTTCCAACACTGATGTGACATTGAAACCTTCTAAAATAGTAAAACAACCATGGCCACATAAAAATAATAGTTCATCCCCCATCTAATTACACTTCAATGTCTAAGTGCTACGGAACTTTACAATTACAACACAATGTATTACAACCCAGCACAAGTTTTACAACTATATGGCTAAATTCCAAAATCACGATTTCAACGAAGTCCAGTCCAAACCACCGACCATTATGGATTCAAATTCCCGATTTATAAAAACCCAATGAAATAGAGCCCTTCACTAGCTCACAAGCTCCATTTCTCCACCTCACTTCTCCCCCCCTCACCCCCCACCCGGACTACAACCCTCACCTATCTCTCTCTCCAACAAAAACAAACCAGTGAACAAAAAATATATTAAAGGAATAGGATTTACCAGGTCCCAATCAATCGATGTGAAAAGATAACCCTTTTGTCATACCCCAGACCGGGTCGGAAGAAAAAATAACCTCGTGCTTGGTGTGCGAGGAAAAGTAAAAAAAAAATGAAAAAAAAAAAAGCTTCTCTAATTCTAATAATAAAAAAAAACTTACAAGTGTACAAAAATAAATATAAAACCCTTAAATCTCTCGTCTAACACAATCTCAGCTCATCTAACACCTGTCTTGCCAAATAACTCATCCATAAAATAAAAAAGTAAGGGTGATCAACAACTACCGAAGCGTAGTGAGTAGGATATGTAATATGCCCGTCAATCAATGTCGTTTTACATAGTCTGGAAAATATGTATCATATATCAAAATTATTATACACATAGCGCCATATCACATCATCTTTTTATGTGTTCATTATATCTTTCATCAAGTGTGACTCTTACGTTACCCCTAACGGTCATTCTGCCCCCTGTGCAATTTACATTTATCCCTCGAATCAATGCAACACTAAAGTTCTCGTGCTCCATGAACAATCTCAAGTAATTCCACATAGATTGTGTGTATATATATATTCCATCATAAACATTTACACAAAATCAAACATGCTTGACTTGAAATAGAGAGATATTTGAAATAGATCAAATCCCATGATAATTTATGGTTTTCGTTTTATCAGAAATAAGAAATTTTTGAAACACATTACATAAACCACTCACCTCGATAATCTGAAATTCAACAAGACAATCTTCACACACTTCAAACCCTAGCTCTCCTTCTTTCGTCTCTCTCTCTCTCTCTCTCTCTCTCTCTCTCTCTCTCTCTCTCTCTCTCTCTCTCTCTCTCTCTCTCTCTCTCTCTCTCTCTCTCCATATATATATATATATATATATATAATATGTACACACATAAACATATACACGTACCATGCATGCAATACATGAATGGCTTCGTACACACACAAACATATACACGGACCATGCATGCAATACATGAATGGCTTCCTACCAGCCGACGACCAACATATGTTTCCTAAAATGTGAGATGAACGAATGAAGTGCGGCCTTCTATTTATAGGATTGAAAGGCGGCAGATAGAGGAGGTGGGGTTGAGTAAATGATGAAGTGAGGAATGAAGCTTGACAACTCAAACAAATATGCATGCGGGTAAGTAAGAGCTGTTGATTCCTCTGAAGGCTTTTATTTGATTCAATCATGCTGTAGCAGCAAGCTAATAATAATGTGTAAGGTTCTAAACCTAAGTAGAGTTGGACTTGGCAACTTATGGATATGATTTTGTAGAGAATGGACATGTAAGGCCACAAGCAACAAGGTTAGTCATAACTTGCATGGAGTAGGTGTCAATATATAGAAATATCTATTAACATCTACGATATGGTGGTAACTCGTAAGGCTTCCACATAGAGGAGGCGGCTTTAGACGAAATGAATATTACTAGAAGATTAAAGCACAAGTGGGATGAACGCTTCGGTACAAATACTAAGATCCGAGCAAAATTATAATGTGTGTATATAAATACATAAATAAAAGAAGCTCACTAATATAATGCTAGGTTAGCCGAAAGATGGTTATCGGTTCAAGGAAGCAAGGTGCCCCTGATTTTTCAGGGTAAGAAGGGGTAGAGAAAATGCCTCGAGCCAATGTTCAAGTACCAGGTGCCACGACACTGAAGTAACTCATTCCATACTCCCAGGAAAAGCTCGAATGACCTTCAACAAAAAGGTACTTATACCCGAAACAGACACAGGTGGGTAGGTAGAGAATACCTAGGGGCGTGAGACAACTCTCTCTAAGGAACTCAGAAAAATAGCCCCGTAACTTCGGGAGAAGGG